CGTGCTGCAACCTGTGTTCCCCAACTGCATCCCCCCAGCTACGGCCTCTCGCGTGCTCTCCATGGCCTGCCTGAGTGAGTGGCCCCCTGATGAGCCTCTGTCCCCAGAGCAGCTGACTGCCCCATACCCCATACTGCTCTCTGCTCTGGGTGCAGGGACAGACAGATGGGATCCCCCAGCTGTCAGCTCCCTCCAGTGTCATCTTGAGAACCATGTTCTTGCATTCTGGCTGCTGCCTGGGCTGGACCTGCCTGTGGTCCACATTGAGCCACAGGTCCTCCCTGCTTCCCTCCCCAGTGCTCCTGACGTGGGTGAATGGCTCCAGTGTACGCTGGGCCACGCGCATCCAGGACATCTTCACGGGTGGGAAGCTGCTGGCCCTGTCCCTCATCATTGGCATTGGCTTTGTCCAGATCTTCCAAGGTAGGGCCAGGGTGTGGGTGTGGGCAGGGATGGGGGGGGGCATGCTGATCCCTGATGTCTGGACCCCCAGGACATTTCGAGGAACTGAGGCCCAGCAATGCCTTCACCTTCTGGATGACGCCCTCTGTGGGTGACCTGGCCCTGGCCTTTCTCCAGGGCTCCTTTGCCTTCAGCGGCTGGAACTTCCTCAACTATGTCACCGAGGAGCTGGTTGACCCTCGAAAGTGAGTGAGGCATCTGGCCAGCTAATGGGAGGGGTAGGTCCAGCTAATGGGAGAAGCAGCCTGTCTGAACAGATCCGCTGTTACCTGTGGCTCGGACTGGTCATCTGCTGCCCCGTAGGAACAGTCCTGGAAAGAAAGCCAGGACACTGTGTTCTAGCCTGGTCCCATTCTGTGTGGCTGTGGATGCATCAGAGCCCCTTGCTGGGCTTCAGAAAGACAGAGTATCGTCGTTCTGCTTTAAATAGATCCAGTGATTTGCATTTGGCCCAAAATTATACATATGCACACAACATGGTGCCTACAAATGAAGCCAATGACTCTATTTGATACTCAGCCAGGGATCTTTGGGCTGAGACAAATAGAGAATCCCCGGGGGGACCCTAGACCTGCAGACTGGGCTTTAGGGGAACTCACAGGATTGTCCAGGCAAATATTGGCTGTATTCAGTTTTCTCCTTATGTGCAAATGTTAGTGAGATCCCACCCTCAGGATAGACATGGCTTCCTCTTTCGTGTGCTCTTTCTCCTCCCAGCCTGTGGTCAGAGAGGAGTGGAAGGAAAGGTAGACAGCAATGTCCCAAATTACAGTACTGTACCCACTCCTGCCCCAACACCCCCAGTGGACCCAGGAGATGAGACTTAATGCTGCTCCTGTTGCTGGGTCCCTTGTCCCCCCCCGGGCCCCAGATTTCCCCCACCAGGGACTGACACTGACTCCCTCCTCTGACGCCTCCAGGAACCTACCTCGTGCCATCTTTATCTCTATCCCTCTGGTGACCTTCGTGTACACATTCACCAACGTTGCCTACTTCACCGCCATGTCACCCCAAGAGCTGCTGTCTTCTAACGCAGTGGCTGTGGTGAGTGGGGGCACCTGCCTGATCCCCAGCCCTGCCCCACCCTACCCCAGCCTCATGTGCTGCCTCTCTTCTGTGCCCACTCAGACCTTCGGGGAGAAGCTGCTGGGCTACTTTTCATGGGTCATGCCCGTCTCCGTGGCTCTTTCCACTTTTGGAGGGATCAATGGCTACCTGTTCACCTCCTCCAGGTGACTAGGCTGGGGAGGGGGTTGTCATGGTGACGCAAGGCAGGTGCCTTGATGTCTGTGAACCATGCTGGGGACTACTGGAAAGGAAAGCTGAGATGATGACCTGCCAGTAACAAATGTGTGATCCCAACCCTAAGGTAAAGCCAGCAAGAAAGAAGCAGGCTAGCTGAGGGTGAGAGCTGCCCTGTGGGGGGCTGCTAGGGCCTGAAGTGGGTCAGAGGTGACAGCTTGAGGTCCAGAGCTGAGATCCGGGATCTAGCTGGTAGGAAGGTGCTGAGGCTGGGCTCACGGCCCCTACCCATTCTGTTCCCACCCCCAGGCTGTGCTTCTCTGGAGCCCGAGAGGGGCACTTGCCCAGCCTGCTAGCAATGATCCATGTCAGACACTGCACCCCTATCCCTGCCCTCCTTGTCTGTGTAAGTTGGGGGACCCAGGCCAGGCAGCATGTGGAGCCAGGGCCACCCAGCAATGGGGGATTTCTGGACAATGCCAGGGATGGCCGTGGTGGACAGCCCATGGAGAATGGGGATGGGGTGGGGATTCATGCCACCTCCGGGCCAGAATGGGAGAGGCCAGGGCAGCCGGGGAGGGCAGAAGGCAGGTGGGAGGCCAGCTGTCAGCCTCAGGTCCTCTCCCAGTGCGGGGCCACCGCGGTGATCATGCTTGTGGGAGACACGTACACACTCATCAACTACGTGTCCTTCATCAACTACCTCTGCTACGGCGTCACCATCCTGGGCCTGCTTGTTCTGCGCTGGAGGCGGCCAGCACTCCACAGGCCCATCAAGGTGAGGCCCAGGAGAGAAAAGGTAGGCTGATATGCCAGAAACTGTCAGGGCCATCCTTTCGTCTGAGCTGGGCACCAGGGACAGGGCCAATGACTACAGTGACAGTGACTACACCTTTTGCAGAAGGCTGGGCTTTCTAAGCACTGATATATTTGCTCCTCATAACGACCCCACGAGGGGAGTGCTTTAAATACTCCAAGTCTACAGATAGAGAAAATGAAGCTAAGGAACTTACTCAAGGTCACACAGCATCCGCCATCCCACGTGAAAGCAAAAGACAGTAAACCAAGCTAAAAGTAAAAGCCCCCCATTTGCACACAAAGCAAAGTGGAGAAGTGCTCAGTGCCTGAAATGTGAAACCCCCCAAAATAGCTGAACTCCAGCCAAGTGCAAGCACAAAAAAAAAATCCACACACAACAGCTGTGTTGAGGTCAAAAAGTGACCAAGGCTCAACAGTTTGGCCAACTGGTCAACCCATGTATTGGCTTCTAGCACAAGGGGCTGCTGGCCAGAAGGGGGACCTCTCAGGCCCCAGCTCCCAGGACAGGAAAGAAAGCCTCAGACCTCGGGGGTTGGGTGTAGGGCAGGAGAGACACCGGGGATCTTGCACCATCTGCAGTCTCGTCCGTCCTTCCGCAGGTGAACCTGCTGGTCCCGGTGGCGTACCTGGTATTTTGGGCATTCTTGCTGGTCTTCAGCTTCATCTCAGAGCCCATGGTCTGTGGGGTTGGCGTCATCATCATCCTCACAGGGGTGCCCATTTTCTTCCTGGGAGTGTTCTGGAGGAGGAAACCAAAGTGTGTACACAGACTCACAGGTGAGCCACCGGCCTTGCTGAGTGTCCAGGGCTTGGAGAGGGGACCCTCTTGGGATCCCAATTCAGAACAGGGTCTCCCAGATGCTCATCTGGTAACAGAGGGTCCAGCCCCTTCCACATGTCTCCCCAAGATGTGGCCGAAGAGGGAAAAGCGCCTCGAAGACCCCTGCCCAGGGGAGGTGTCCAGAGGTGGGGTCACCCCTGTCCCAAAGGATCAGATCCCAAGGTCCATCTGCCCCTCTGTCTGTTCTCAGAGTCCATGACACGCTGGGGCCAGGAGTTGTGTTTCGTGGTTTACCCCCAGTGCTCCCCCGAGGAGGAGGAGGAAGATGGCCCCTACCAGACCTTCCCACTGCCGGCCACGGACAAGCCCTTAAAGACACAATGAGACATTTGTAGAGACTGAAGCAGCTGTTTCTGTTTACATGTTGTTTATTGAGGAGGTGTTTTTGCAAAAACTTTTTTTTTTTTCTGGAAAGAAGAGATATGACTCTTAGAGGCCTATCGTAAGGAAGCCCAGACAAGGTGGACGGGGTTTCCTGTCTTAGCACTGCCCTGCTAGCTTTTTCTGAAAAAGGCCTACAAATAAACAGGGCTGGTTGTTCGCTTGTGCTCAGGGGAGTCCCTGGTGGACCCTGATGGGGGCAGGTGGTGGCATACCTCACTGGGAGGCACGCACATTGCTAGTTGAGAAGATGCCATGGCAGACCCTGGAGGAGATGCCACTGAGGAGGCTCTTAGTATCTGAGGGTCTTGACGCTTGACCTAGGGCTGGCTCAGTGAAGCCCAGAACCAACCTGCCCAAGAGGGACAGTGAGGGAAAGCTGCTCCATCTGCCCCTTCCCTGGGTCACTCCATGCCAACCTCAGGGGAGCCCAGGGATTCCTGGCCAGGATCATCTTTCTTCTCATAAGTCACCAGAGTGAATGTCATGACTTGAGTGCACACAGCCTCACCTTGGTCTACAGGTGGGGAAACTGAGACCCTGAGACAGGATGGGATGGATTTGGCTACTATCCCTTGGTGCCTCAGCTTCTGTCCCCTGAGAAAGTACAGAGCAGCATGTCCTGGGAATCTCAGGGCTTGCAAAAGGTCTCATGGCCCTCAACCTCATACCAACATTTCCAGCCCTGCCATAGTCCCCTGGAGGTTGACCCCTCGGTCAGATCACAAACGGCAAAGGGCACCAGCCTGGCCAGGCCCAAGATGGCTTCATGGAGCAGAACCACCTCGCCCAGCTCCTCGGGGGGCCCTGCTAGGAAGGATGGGAAGAGGGCTCAGTGTGGACAGAGCCCTCACCACTGGTGAAGCCCAATACCCCCAGGGCCCCTTTCAGTCCTATTACTATAGCTTCTGGCACAGCTCTGGGAGTAGCTGGTGCCACCATAGGGGGAATGAAGCAAGAAGCCACACAAAACACACCCCAGAGAGCCCTGCCCTGGCCTCCCTGACTCTGTGGAAATGGATTCCCAGGTTTGAACTGGAGTGGAGGAATCGGTAGAAGTGAGACCCCAAGGTGCTTATGTGTGCTGGGACCCCAAAGATAGGCTCGTCACTCCACCCTCTTTCCCCCAGCCAACCCCCAGCCCCTCTTTGCCATGCCCACCCAAGTTGATGCAGGCTGCTGGCTCAGGGCCCAGACCCTCCGATGGGGCTGCTGGTGGGCCTCTCGCTCTGCAAGAAAGGACGCGGAGGCAGGGTAGAAATGACTGTGTATTCCCTGGTTACAAAGCGGGGCTATGGCGGTCACCAGCATGTGTTGTGGGTCAGCAGACCAGCAGAGCCTCATCGTCACTGGCCTCCAGTGTTGGGGAGCAGGGTGGTGGGGAGCTCCTGCAGACCTCCAGTGGCTCTGGGGAGTGGGGGTCTGGGGTGCTGCTGGCAGTGGGAGCCTGGGGGTAAGGGTCCTGGGCCAAGCAGGGCTCAGGAATTGTGTCCTGAGGGGCCGGGCTATCCACCAGAGGTTCCCTACAGGCCTTTCTGTCCTTGTTCACAGGCCCATACTCTGGGTCTCGCAGGCCCGAGGGCGGGGGTGACACTGAAGTTCCCACCTCTGGTGCATGACCAGGGGCACTGGGAGGTCCATCCCCAGCTGCTCTGGGGCTGCCTGTGTCTGTGTGGGATGCTGGGGGATCCGGGGCGGCCCCAGGTGCAGGCTGGAGGAGCCCGTCGCCCAGCACCGTCTGTGATGTGCGTGCAGCAGTCAGCAGTGGAATCTGGCCCCGAGGTGCCCGTGGCCGGTGAAAAAGCCGGTTCCAGAGGCGGCCCAGACGGCGGCGGGAGGGGCCCCGGCGGGAAGCGTGCCGGCGCATCTGTCTCCGCATGGCTGTGCGAAGGTTCTGTAGCACCGAGGCCTAGAGGGTGGGGCAGCAGCTAAGGGAGTGGCCACTTAGGGGCAGAGGTCAGCACACCCCCAAGGAACCCAAGACCAACTTGCACCCTCTCTACCTGGCTGGGGTCTCCTTAGGTCACCTAGCCCAGGTCTCACCTCCCCCTTCTGTGACCCCTGGACCAGGCTGTCCCACACGCTGTCCTTCCTGGCCCTTTGTCCTCTGGTCTTGGGTCACGCCTGCTGAGTCTCACCTGGGATGCACTGTAGACAGGAAAATCCTCCACGGGTGGGATGAGGCCCTGTGCAATGAGCTGACCGTAGGATGGGGGTGCCTCCCGCCGCACAAACTCAGCCTCTAAGCGCGTCATCTGGGTCTCGAAGGCCCTGAAAGCAGTGGACAGAAGGGAAGTATGGCAGGGCTGGCCAACTTCCTGGTGGTCCCCAACAGGACTCAGGGACTCTGCCCCTCCATCTGGAAAATGTGCTGCCCAGACCCAGCAGTGCCCACCAGGAAGGCCTGAGCCTCCTTGGGCAAACCCACAGCTGCATGCATCGTGAGCAGGGAAACCAAGGGCCCTGGCCACGGAGGGGCACCCACCTGTACTCCTGCGTGCGCAGTGAGTAGAGCTTGAACGCGCAGCCCAGGGCGATGACAAGCAGCAGGCCACACACCAGGCTGCCGATGAGGGCAGCGGTGATGACCTTGCGGGGCACAGCGGCCAGGCAGCCGTGCTCATCGCTGCCGTCCTGGCAGTCCTCCTGGCCGTCACACCGCCACGTCTCAAAAATACACAGGTTGGTCCCGCAGTGGAAGGTGCCGGGCTGGCAGGAGAAGCAGTTCTTCTCGTCGGCGCCATCTGGGCAGCTTTTCTGGTTGTTGCAGCGGTCAGCAGGTGCATAGCAGAGGCCACTGCCACCCTCGCAGGGGTATTGGTCGGGTGGGCAGGCGGGGCAGCCCTGCTCATCCCGGCCGCTGGCACAGTGCCACCAGCCATCACAGCGCTGCGGCTCTGAGAAGCAACCCTGGTCTCCGGTGCCACTGTCATCCCCCTCGCTGCTGCTCCCGCACGGCTGCTCCCACGGGAGGCAGTAGCCCTTCACCTGGTAGGTGGCATTGAAGCCATGGCCAGCGCTGCGGGCGCGGGCATGGTAGGCCACAGTGAGGCGGCCCTGCGCGGCCTCGAGGCTCACCGGCCGGTGGTTGCTGCGGTAAGACAGCGTCTGCAGCAGGCGGTCCCCGCGCTCGCCCAGGCCCTCATACACCTGCACGTAGTCGTCGTAACCCAGCCGCAGCTCCAGCTGCAGCAGCACACGGCGAGGGTCCTGTGTGTCCACCAGCCACGTGCAGTGAAGGTCCGAGGGCCCGCGGGCCGCACCAAACAGGTCTGGGGAGGCGAAGGAGCCGTAGAAGCTGCCCAGCCGCCGACCGCATGCCAGGTCGGGGCAGCCAGCCTCATCAGAACCGTCGCCGCAGTCCTGTGTGCCGTCGCAGCGCCGCTCCACAGGCAGGCAGCGCGTGGACCGTGCCCCACTGCAGGGAAAGGTGCCCCCAGGGCACAGGCTGCCTGGAGGCTCAGAGGCAGGGGCAGAGCAGTTGCCCTCATCAGAGCCATCTCCACACTCATCCACAGTGTTGCACTGCCACGGGCCTGGAAGGCACTTGCCGTTGTCACAGCGGAATTCATCTGGCTGGCAGGACACCTGGCCCAACTTCCCTACAGGCAAGGAGGTAGCAGGAGGCAGTTAGGGGAGAGCAGAGCCCCCCTCCAGCATGGGGGCTTGGGGCCAAGAGTGGACAGGAGCATCCCCCAATGCAGCTGGGGCCAGGAAGGGCCAGGCCACTGGGATTCCTAAGTGGGCTCATTCTCTGACCCGACCTTGGGCTGAGGGGCCAAGTCTGTGAAGTGGGGTCAGTGACCTGGAGAGGTTCTGGTGCAGCAGCTTAACAGTCCCACCCACATCCTAAGATGGACAGGGCTGGTCAGAGTGAACCCTGCAAGGAGTAGAGGGCACTGCCCCAACCCAGGAGCCAAACACTGAGCATTCCATGCTGTCCCCACCCTGATCTCTGGTTGGCATCACCTCTGATGTAGGAGAGGCGGAAGCCCTGGGCTTGGCCAGAGCTAGAAGCGTCTGAGTGGAAGAAGATCCAGACATGGTCCCGGGCAGAGATGAAGGCCGGCGGGATGGCAGAGCCGCAGAGCCGGAAGGCCTCTTGTCGAGGCGGGGCCGCTGGACCCAGCAGGAGCCAGTCCAGGGAGCACTGATGGGACTCCTCCACATCAAAGTTGCGGAAACTACAGGGACAGACAGAACCACAGAAATGGGTGGGGCAGGCAGAGATGGCATGGACTGGCAGAGTGGTCAGGCCAGAACTCACAGCAACAATGGCCAGCCTGCCCCACCCACTACCCCTGCCCTCTGTCTCCCAAACTGCCTGCTCTTCCACTCTTAGTCCTGTCCCCACCTAGAGGTCCAAAGAATCATGAATGACATCTGTGGACAGCATCGGTCACACTCAACTTGGTTGCAGCTCCCTGTCTTCCTCCATCACACACACAGCACCCCAGCCCAAAGCCACAGTGGGAGGGTCAGGAGCCACCTAGACACTTTCCCCTGAAGGGTGGAGGCAGAAGGGCCCCCATCCCTCCCAGACCTGGTCAACTGGAACAGACCCAGCACAAACTCCCAGAGACAGGCACTAAAGATAAGGCTGTGCCCACAGGGCCAGTGCTGCAGCTGGGTGACAGCTAATCACCTAGGGAGGAACCCTGGCACTGGAGCCATGGTCTGTGGTCATAGGGAAACTGAGGCACAGAAACCAAGATAGCCCCTGTTCAAGGCCTTCACATCCCTGTCTTTGGGAGCTGTGGAGTAACTGGGCCCTGGGCAGCGGGGTGCCAGGGGTGTCTGGACTTTGGCATTTAGGAGAACAACAGCAGATGGAACCCACAGTAACCCCCTAACTAAATGTCCCCATGACCATCTCAAGCCAGGCCTTCCAGCTCCTCAGTGCCGCTATCTGTTCCCACCCCTCGTTTCCTTCTGCACATCTCTGCAGCTCAAGGGCACAGCTCCTGCCTGGTTCCCTTCCCTGCTGAGACCACCGCAGGCCCCTTGGGAAAACTGTGATCTGGGCTCTGTGCCAGCCTGGCCTCAAGCCACCCCTGCAGGACAGAGGATAGCTCTGCTACCTCAGAGGCAGTCAGATCAGGCCACCAGTTCCCAGGGCTCAGGTCAAGAGACCTGGCTTGGAACACCCAGTCACAGAGGCCCAGGGAACTGGGCACGCTCACATGCTCGTGTGCATTCACATAGGCGCACACATGGTCACACGTGCCCTCTCAGACACCTCATGCATGTGCTCCCTGCATCTACAGACATGGGCTCATGCATGTGCATGTGCTCACACACAGGTCCTTGATGCCTGCTCAGGAATGGGCTTGTGCAAGTCCACAAACGCATGTGCACACTCACGCATCTGTCCATATGCTCCCCCAGCATGTAAGGTCCCACACTGATTGCCCCCAACACCTTCAAGGCCCTCCTACCTGATGGTAATCATGTCCCCACGGTCGCCTTGGATGTACCAGCTGCAGTTGGTGCCTGGTGGGTAGTTGAGGGGCCAGGCCGGGCTGTAGATGACACCGCGCCGTTCTGTGTGCTGCTCCAGCTTCCCACTGCAGGCAGCTGTCAGGAGAGGAGGCTGAGAAGTGCCCACCCCACATCTGGGTGGAGAGTGGGTCAGGGGTGTGCTTGAGCGCAGGTCTTTCCCGTGGTGCCATCAAGTGCAGCTAAGGGTAGCCAGGCCATGGCCGGCCATGAGCTCAAGACTTCATAGAAGTAGTGAGGGTGGGGGAGGTCCAGGAAGGTTCTCCTGGACTTGGGGCAGCACAGCGCCCATCCCATGCTGTATGCCAAAGCCCAGGTTTCTGAGAGGGCTGAGAGTGAGCCACCAACTCCCCCTGGCAACCAGCACCTGCAAGTGCAGCACCATTGCCTCAGGGCCTCAGCTCAGAGAGAATTCTGCACCCTAGGCCTGCTAGGCTTACCAGCCATCTCACTGGGGTCCCCTGCCTGTCCTTCCTGGGGCCTGCCGAATGCAGATCAGCCCTGGGAGGAGAGGGGCTTTGCTCACATTCACTGAGCACCTACTCTATACCAAACAAAAGTGATAGGCATGCTGAATAAGGCAGGCAAAAGCCCTGCCCTATGGAACTCACAGGCTGGGGAGGGATGCAGACGACTTATACAGAAGGCCTGGTGACGATTATGAAACAGGCCCTAAGGGAGGCAGCAATGTCCAGGATGGCTGGAAACACAGGCTGGGGCTGAGTGCACCTTATACAGAGCTGGGGTCTTACCCTGAGTACACATGGAAAGCCACTGAAGGTAGAGGTCATAACCAGAGAAGGAAAGAGGCTCAGAGAGGATAAATGACTTGCCCAGGGCCACACAGCCAGTGAATGACAGAGTCAGGATTCACTCTGGTCCTTAACGAGCTCAGCCTCTCACAGCCAGCCCTAAGCCAACAAGCATTTATAAAGTGTCAACTGTATGCCATGTCCAGGATCGACACGGAGCAGCACACTGGCCAGTGTGACTGAGGAGCCCACCACACTACTGGCTTCCCTTTAACTGATTCTATCTGCAGCCTCCACCTGCTAGCTGAGAACACCCAGCCTGAAGACACCAGACCGCAGGGGCAGTACAGAATACCCAGGCATTCCCAGGGCCAGGCAGTGGGCCTATACACTTGGCGCACCTTCTCACAGTGCCCTCAAGCCTGCACCATGTCAGTTTATCTGATCTAATCTGGGACAAACGCAAGATCCATTTATAGATGGAGAAACGGAGGCTCAGAGAAACAAGTGATGATCAAGTGACCCCCCCCTTAATCCCACTCTTGCCCCAGAAGCCACGTTCTCTCTACCTCCTCAGCAAGACTCTCTGGGACCCCAAATGGGGCAGCTGCAGTAAGAAGGAAAGCCTTCTGGTCTCCCTACACTCCATGCTCTTGGGATAAGCACAAGATTCACTCACCCACCCATCAGCCTCATGGCTCCCATAACCCCAAGCCCCTTGGTCCTGCACACGGAGAGATTTTGCTCCTGCTGAGCCCTGAAGGGTTTTTCCCTACTCTCCTATTTCATGCCTGCTCAGCTTCAGCTGTCAGGTCCCAGGTCCCTTCTCGGAGACGCCCTTCCCAGGCTGCCCCAGTGAAGTCCCCATCCTCCACCTCTCCTCCCTAGCATCTACCAGGACAGGGATTTCCCTCTCCTCCCCAGAATGGGTTGATGACAGGCTTCCACAAGAGGGAAGGGCTGTGATGCTCTAGCCTAACACCCTGACCCCAGGAGCCTGCCACACATGGCCAGTCACCCTGGACCACTGAGTGGTCAATCCATGTACCCACTGAGCATCATGCTGAGGCACAAGCTGTGAGCTGAGGCTCCTTCTGCTCGGGACCAGTCATGACCGTGGGGTCCAGATTATCCAACATTGTAACCGCAAACTGGTCACCCCCGCTGACTGCTCACAAGAGCATAAAAAGGCTAGAACAGAAATGCCACCCTTGGCCCTAAAGAAGCTTGGCCACCATAAGGCCATCAGAGCCTCAACAGTCCCAGCTCAGCAAGTTTATAAGCCAGTGCCCCTGGACCTGGTGCTTCCACATGGTCCTGGGAGACAGCCTTCTGTGCCTCAGGTTCCTCCCTTTCCAGGAAATGGGAGCCACGTGACCACTCCCAGGACAAGAAGACAAGCACTAAACAAATGGAACAGGTCTTAGCCAAAAGTGTGAGGGATCCCCAGCCCCAGCCTAGTTCCTGTTGATGGGTGAGGCCATTGGTCATATGGAACTCCCAGAGACCTGAGTGCTGACCTGGGATGCCTGGGAAGGTTTCTCTCTCCAGAAGGTGCTAGAAAGGAGGAGGTGCCTGAGAATGGAGGGCCCAGCAAGGCTGAGGGCACAGCTTGCTCCCATGTCAAGTCTCTAGAGCACATTAAACCAGAGCACCAGGCCTCTGGGTCAACAAGGGCAGGAAACAGCCCTTGTTCATCTTTATTCTCAGCTCCAAGGACAGGGCTGCCCCAGCCCCACAGGGGATAGACAGAGACCTACTCGTCTTGTCAGGTCAATAAGAGGCCAGGTATCTCGCCCACACTGGCCAAGGAAAGCCAGGCCCCTCCAGTGTCACCAGCCACTTCAGTCTCTTCCCAACTGCCGTAGCCAGAATACATCTCCCTGCTACCCCCTGTGGCTGGCCATTCGCTCAAGGGTTGGGAAGCCTGTCCGGATGACTGGACCAGTACCTGCCAAGCTCTAGCTTTCCACAAAATACCAGTGACATGTCCTCCCAGATGGCCTCAACTCCAAAGGCCCCCAGCACTTCCCCAGAAATCCCCACGTCAGGGGCATCAAGGGCATTGGCCCTCTGTTAACTGTCTGCTCTTCTCCAGAGGGGGTCACGGGTAGGGGGAGGGTGTCTGCAGCCACCAGTCCAGCCTGGTGCAGACAGAGTGTGGAGCAGAAGGGAGGCTGGGGTCTTCCAGGAACTGGAGCTCCATCAGGGACTCTTGACTGGATGCCACTTGGCCATGGACCTGGTGGATGCCCCCAGTTCAGATGGGGGTCCTCCACCTTGTCTCTGTAAAGGCAGCCTCATCGCACCCCACTGCACCACCCCAGGGCCCGGGGCCAGACAGGGATAAGGTCATGAATCCAATCCCAGCGTCAATATTCTGCCCTGAGCCTAGCTTGTCTGTCAGTAAAATGGAATCAGTGTATATTGCTTGTCTCAGTGGGATGATTTAAGTGATGGGGGGCCTATCAGTGGGGAAGGGGACTCTCCAGGAAGTGAGGGTCCGTAGGGTGGGTTGACAGAGGAGAGGTGGGAGAACCATGAGTCTGGGAGATACTAATGCAGGAGAGGGCTTCAGGGGTGTTTGGGACACACAGAGAGGAATGTCTGAGCTGACCTCACTCTGGCAGAAGATTGCCTCTGCTCTCGATGCCCACGTAAGTGGGAAAGAGATGACTGGGCACTTTAAAGGACAGTGTCCTTTTTTCCTGGCCCAAAAGTTGTCAAATACTCCTGAGAGCACATGAGCAAGAACTGATGAAGCACAATTTGCAGATCTGATTTCCAGAGGTGAGAGCGATACTCTGGACAACCCATCTGGTGTAACCTGACGACAGGGAGCTTGGAGACCCACCCCAGACACTCCAGGAAGTCGTCAGGTGAGTGTCAGGCAGCATGAACCCTGCCCAGGCTCACCTCTTGGGGCCACACTGGGTTCTGGGGGATGTGGGAGGTGGGTCCTCTGATCCAGTCAGTCCCTGGCATACCTGGGGCAGAGCAGAGACTGAGGGACAAAAACCTGTGAGGTTCCTGGCAGCCTAGCTGGGTCCTGGAGATTATCTGAGCCCAGGGCAGTTCTGAGAAGGGGCTGGGGGAGTGGTTCCTGATGTGGTCGGTCTCCTTCACAATAGGAACAGCAGAGAAAGTTCTACAAAAACAGAGTCGCAAAACATTATTGGAAGGGGGAGCCTCAGTCAGTCAGAAGCTGGTAGTAATGCTGGAGGGATCAGAGCTAGGGTCCCACACTACCACCTATCACCACACAAGCTGTGTGTACAAATCACAACACCAAGGGCACCATGTATGGGAACCGATGTGCAAACAGCAACCCCTGGAGTTGAGCAATGTGGACCCTGCTGGGGCCCAAGATCTTAAAAGCTAAGAATAACCAAACATGAAGACCCAGACAGGTGTCTTTCTCCCCCAAGCTCCATGAGTGGTCCTTCTCTGTGAAGCATCACTTTTCCAACCCTGAATGTGGCAGATATGTTTGGGGCAACATGCCTACCCACCACGTTAGCAGAAGAACTGGCCTGGGGCTCATGTTTGTGAGATGTGAAACCTTCTTGTCCCTTTCTCCTACTCTACCCTGACCACAAACATCTGACTCTGGCTAAGCCAGTCTTTTCTTGAAAACTGGGAAAGGAGACCAGGATGTCCTCTCTGCTGGGACATCAAGCAGGACTAGGCTGGTCAGTGCTGAGCAAGGCCAGGCCCTAGGCCAGCCCAGGTCAGCAGTGGACACGTGGCTGCAGAGAGTGTGGAGCTCAGGTGCAGAGAAACTTAGGAGGTAAGCAGAAGCCAAGTCTTTGAGACTGGCAGGCAGACCAGCCTCTGTGCCCTGACCTTCCTATCCCTGTGACTACAGCCAGCAAGGGTACCTCCCCCTGAGAGTTCCTAATACCTGAGCCAGGCTCAATGGGTTTCTGTAGCCAGCCAGTCCCCTGAGCAGAACTAGAAACCTCAAACAGCTCCTGCCCTACCATGCAGCACAGCAGACAAAAAGCAAGTCCAGGGTCCCAGATTGGGCATCACACATCTTCCCTGAGTACTTTGAGTTAACTTTGACCCAATGTTTTTAATGCAAATACCTGTCCTTACTTGAATAGCATTTTAGGGTTTGCTGAAGATGCCTGTATATAGGTGAATGAGTAAGAGATGGTGAGGTTTATCAGGGTGTATCAATTACAGTACAGGCTCCCCTCGTGTCCTTTCTTAGAACTCTCTGAATGGAAGCGAGGGCCACAAAGGCCTGGATTTATCCATTCACCAATCCCTGGCAACCCCTCAGCGATGGAGGATAGATGTTCTTGGCTGCCCCTCCTGCTCCTGACAGTCTTTGCTATGCTAGGCACCAGGCCAGAGCCCTAAGATGGCCACTGGATGACCAACCCACACTGACAGGCAGGAGGCCAGCACGGAGCCTTCAATGTGCTCCTCGCATCCTGTGTGTACTACTGGCCAAAGTCGATCTCTCTCCTGCAAGTCAGCAGCCCGATGCTCACCTTTCCTGTGCAGTGATCCCAGGTTAGGCCCTCACCTGCCTTCTACCTGCCTCTCACACACCAAGCCCATATTCCCCAGCCCTGATGCATTCTAGGACCCAGGACCAGGAGCTAGAGACCACCCTCCAGCCCATGACCCCAGGATTATTCAAAATGGCCTGTCCTGAGCTGTTTGCTCTGCCTGCCTTGACTTTCCCATGGAAACCCCAACAAAGGCTCTGGCCTCTCCTTTCCCAAACCTAGTAATCCCCCATGGCCCTGTGTGGTACGGCATGTCCCCATCTCTCGTGAGGAGTCAAAAATTCTACCAATGGTCTTGGTTTCTCTGTGTCATCACTCAGTCCTACTTCTGTAAGTTGAATCATTATTTTAACACAGGTCAGCATCTCAGGGCCCTAAGGAACCCCACGGCCTACAGGAGGCACAATCTGTCAGTTGCACAGGGTGCTGGTAGTTTGCCAGTAGTAATAAGCCACACATGCCAGACACCATGTTGAGTGTCTTGCCTTATTGGTTTATATTTAATATAAAGACCATATTTTGATGTAGACCTTTATTCATCCATTTAACATAAGAGGAAACTGAAGCTCAGGGAAGTTCAAGCTTGCCCAACACCAAAGAACTCCTTTATGATGGAGAAAAGATTCACAAGAACTGATTTTCTCCATAAGAGGCCAGCAGACTGCCGGGTGGAGCTAGGATCTGAAGGCTGGTCCTCAAAGGTCAACAACCCAGAGGGGATGGAAGGAGAGGAAGACAGCGCTTACTTACCTAGAGCTGGAACTGCACTGCTGAGCTTTCCCGTGAGAAAGAGGTTCACTGTGGGAGACATAAAGAGGGGTCAGAAGGGCATAGTGGCCCTCAGGGTCCCAGGCACCTACTCTGGGCCAGTGGCAGGCCTTGCAGAGTCATGGAACAACACAGCTGAACCCAAGGCTGGTCCCTTTCACAGGGCAAGGCCCAGAGTTCTGCTTGAGGCTTTTGCTCCACCCCTAGTTCTGCTGGGATACATAGAGGCAAGGACCCCAAAGAGACCTGGCACATCCATGGCCAGAGAGAGCAACATGCTAGTCTGGTCCCGTCACACCACATCATATCACTTAGGGGGTTTCCTCTCAGGGCTACCCATCACAGAGACCTGGTTCAGCCACGTCACCTACCCAGCAGCCAGAAAAGGAAGGGAAGAAGTTTTAATTATCCCCATCTTACAGAGACACTCATCTAGAACAGCGACCCTCTTCCCTGAGCCACTCTGACCTTGAGAGGGAAAATAAAGAATTATCCTGCCACCCCCTCAAGTACCCACCTCCATAAGGTTCTTTTGATTTTATCTACTGCTCTGATCAGGGGGTCTCAGGCCCAGAAGAGAACACAGATAAAGTGGAAGGCAGACCTAAGTTCCTGGGGTTCAGAGTGCTTCCCTCCCCCATCAAAGATGCCAGTGAATCAGGGAGCATTTCTGGAGGGTCATTGCAGACCTGGTCACCTGTCCTGGGCCACTTCAGGACAACCAGACTCTGCCAGGCAGAGCCATATCCCATATCTGAGCAGGAAGGAACTGCTCACCAGGGGACACAGCAATGCAGAACCCAGAACCCATGATCACAGCCAAATTGAGAGGTGGACATTCTGAAGGTTATGTCCCTTATTAAGACCAGCTCACACAGCTGGGGGACAGCCCCCTGATTGGTAGGGGACAGAGGAGGATACAGCTTAAAACCAATGGAGTTGTTCTTCACTTTGTCATTTCAGTCGTTTCAGCAAACTGGTCAGGTTAAAGAGCCCTCATCAGTGACATCACCCTGTCCCTTAATGACCCTCAGCTCTGCTAAGGGCCTCCCTCCTCCTTCATGGAGGTAAATAAAGGAGCCATGTGAGTTGAGCATTTAACTCCTTCCTTCCCCTCTGCGCAAGGTGGGTCGTGGAAAAGTGGACAGAAAAACTCTTGAGGAGGAAAGGAGCCCTGGCCCAGGTGCCAGGCCTGGACAGGTCTTTGGCCATCCAGGAACTCGCCATCCTGTGCTGTACAGGCCCACCCGCTGGGGCTGAGACGACACAAAGGGAAAATGAGTCATTCGCACAGCTGCCTTCTCTCTGGAATCCTCCCCCGGCCCCGCATCCTGAGTCCCCTTTTGGCTAGCACCCACCCCCGCCTAAACTCCTGGCAGGAAACAGTTCCTTCTTCAGGGGGCCTTTGTCAGCAGCTCTGGAGGCCCAGATCGCCACCAAGCTGAGTGCCGGCCGGCGGGGCTGAGCTGCTGCTGCCAACCCCAGACCCTGGCGGACCCGTCTCCTGCACCAATCCGCCGCCTGTGCGCCGCTCACCGCCGGCGCCAGAGTGCTACTCGGAGCCGGGCAGGGGCCAGGACTACGCGCTGGAGCCGCCCTCCCAGGCCTAAGGCCCGAGCAGGCCGAGAGGGCTCGGGAGCAGGAGCCACCCCAGCCCGGGTCCCGGACAGCGCCGGCTGGGCGGGCGCAGAGGTCCAGCCGGCAGGGGGAGGGGGGGGCGTGGAGCTGCGAGGTTGGGGACCCGGACCCTCCAGGCCTGCGCGGCCCACTCACCCAGGCAGACGACGGCGAGCTGCGCCCGGGCGCCCGGCGCCCCCTCCAGCCCCGCGGCCGCCCGCTTCTCCATGCCGGGGCCGGCCGCGCGCGGGCGCCGCCTCCTGCCCTCCGGCTCAGGCTCGGGCTGGGGCTCGCGCTGCTGCTGCGGCCGGGCTGTAGGCGGCGGCTCCGGCGGCCTCTTTGTGCGGCGGCGATGCAGGCCCGCAGCTTGCGGGGCCACATCGGCCGCGGCGTCACGGGCCCCGGAGGGGGTCAGCGGCGGCCGCCAGGCAGGACCCCTGCCCGCCGCTGCCCCCAAGCCCTGGGTGCCGCGCCGAGGCCGGCCTGCGCCCCGGGGCCCCCGGAGCACCCATGCCCCGCGGCGCACTGCCTGTCCGGCCCCGGCGCCCCCGGACCGCCCCGCGCCGCGCCCAGCCCGCCCGGCCGGGTGCCGCCGATGGTGCCTCCGCGGGTCTGTCTGTCCTCCCGCCGGGCCCCTTGCCCGAGCCCGGAGCCTGGAGGCCGCGCGGCGCCAGCCACGTGACGCGCCCGCCGAGCCGCAGTGGCGCTGACAGGGCGGGCGGAGGCGGCTGGGGCGGGCCGGGGGCTCACGCCCCGCCTCGGGATGCTGGACAGCTCCGCCACGCAGCCCTGGCCGGGTCCCGCGTCCTCTGGCCCTCCAGCCTAAGCGCCGAAGGCTGGCAAGGCGCCCGCGTCCCAGTCAGGGACCGCCCGGTCTCCCAAGCCCACGAACTCTTCTCTCCCAGAGCCGGAGCTGAAGAAGGCGGCGCCGGGAAGGGGAGGGAGAGAGCCGCTGGGTGGCAGAGAAAGAGCGGCCTAGAGCGGCTCAGGGGTCCTGAAAGCAAGGCAGTGCGTGGTGACTCAGAGCTCAGCCTGCCTTCCTCCGGTCCCTGTTGGTGCTCTTCTGTGCTTGTTTGCCACCGCTCAAGTGCCCCACCCCCTCACATCTCAAAGGTGATTCCTCTATAAAAAGCAAAGCCTGTGAGGGCAGATTGGTGAGCACCCTGAGAGGCCCAGCCCCTCTCAGGGACCCTGGGCCACCCAGTCAACTCACAGGCACTGAGGAAGGGAGAGGTCGCTTGCCTTTCAGCCTTGGGGTTGCCATCCCACAGCTATCAACCAAGGAGTTGAGTCCAGTAGAGAACACACACACACGCACACACAGATACTCTGGAGAGAAGGTTGAGACGAATGGATAGTTGATTAGTGAATGTTGTAGACGCAGTATCTTACTAATTTTCACCTGGGTCTCACCCGCATTTTTAAGAAGATGTTTTGGGGAAAACCCTTAGTTTTTTTTTTTTTTTTTAATCTGTCTTGTTCTCTCTTCTAATTCTGTTGGTGATTTTTCCAAAGCAGGCTTTTTCTTAGATGATGTATTAAAGGATTTAAAAACCAAAAAATGAGACACATTTCTGACTTGCAATATAAAGCACTAGCCTGCGTGTAATTTGCTTTCAGAATTTCCTCAGATCCCTAACCACCCATGACCAGGCATTTATTTATACGTGACAAAATGGTTCGACATAGACAGGGCCCTTGGCAGGGAGTTTTGTCCCTGCTTGAGAATGTTGCCTACTTCAATGTCCATATTGCAAGTTATACAAGGAATCAAGAGACCAATGCCACAGGGAGTCCCATTGGAGCCTGAGACAAAAGGAAAATGTAGCCCTATATACACCTGTCAAGTTATCATCCCATATGTTGAACCAAGTTGGAAAGGTTAATAAAAAACTCTACAATCATAAAACATGACCATATATAAGGCTTCATGTTCCTCAATCTGTTCACAGCCCACTGTCAAACCCACCCAGCAAGCAATGACCAAAATATCTAGGAACCTAGGGCTGAAAGGAAACTACTGTCCCCATTGCACAGTTGTGCAGGATCATAAAACAACTGGTCATTATATCAATTCCTCATTGTGTTCATCATGTATATTTTTTACAGTTGTTTGGATTTCTAAATTTGCATTTAAATTTGGTTTATTTTTAGTATTGAGTTTTATGGCACTCAAATTTTGTGCCCATGTGAGTGTTTCCCTGGTATACCCTTGCCCTTGCACATACTGAGATCTGGTTATCTGACACTCCATTTCTCACATAGCCTTAAGGTGATCTAGAGGCTGTCTCACCGGGTAGGGGCTTGCTGGGGGTCCTCTGTGTAGCCCTTGCCCGGTCTTCTCCCTCATCCACCTTCTCACCACTTCTCGAATGGTCCCTGACATCTCTGTCTTTGCTGCGTGTTCCTCTGTCCTAGCTACAGCCACCTGGATCCCCCCTGTTCTCAATAAATACAACTCAGCTTGAGTTGTATTCAGGAGGTTTCTAGTCATCACCAAAACCTTCCAACTACTGGGAAAGGAGTGATGTAAATAATAGATCTGAAACAACAGGATGGCTAGGGCAGGTGAGGGAATTGCAGTGGAGTGGAGGAGCTCAGATACAGGACAAAAGTCCCAGCAGGAAGCTGGGCTTCCTAGTTAGGAGGAAGCAAAGCCCTGTGTTTACTCCCATGCATCGCACTCCCGGGCATTTCCTGAGGCATGGACCATAGGCCCAGGAGGCCTTCAATATCTGCTCCAGAAGTAAGGAGCAAGAGGGCAGGCAGAGAGGAGAAGGCACACAGAGGCATCCCACATTAACTGCCTTCCCAGACAACAAGGCCACTACTGTTGCTCACTTACCAGTCACACACCCAGAACCCCACCTGACATGGAGAAAGCCAATGTCACAGGAGGGTCTTCTCCTCCATCATTTGCCCCCCATAGATGCAAACTCAAGCCTCTCAGCCAACTGCTTACTGGATACTAATTAAGAAGATCCTGAGCTGGATCAATTTGCCTTGATTTCAAATCGCTAGAATCTATTCAAGCGTGAAAAGTCAAAGTGGCTTTTGCAAATGAAGATGAAACGAGATCTTACAACCACCTGGTTCATCAGAGGTCTTCCCAGGAGGGTAACCCCTTCATTGTTCCAAACAGAGCTGCAGACCAGATACCTCTCACTCCTGTGATCTGCCCCTGCTTTATTGTTCCCAAATCATTTCATGACCACATCACTTACTGACTCAATAACTTTTACTGCAATCTCTCTACGTCCAATCCATCACTAAGACCTGCTGGTGCACATGGTGTATCTCACATCTGCACATATCTTTCCATCACCAAGGCCAGCCCCCCTTCTTCCAGTCACTGTCTCCTCTCTCCTGAAACTCTACAGAATGCCTCCAAATCCATCTCCCACATTTTTACCATGCACATTGGATCACACTCCCTGCAGAAAGTGTTCCAGAAACCTCAGAGTTTTTTATCTTAAGCTGTGTGATCCTGTGTGACCAGCTCTACCTGCTACCTGTCCAAACCTCTATCCACCATCAACTTGTTCTGGCCCTAGAACTTTTCCACTCTTCCCAGAGCTATTTCTACTCTTCCTCCGTCCCACCAAGAGGACATCCAAGAGGTAGAGGCAGACATAGTTCAGAGGAATGTTCTCAGCCTTGGGAGCAGCCTCTCTAGCACACACTATGTGGACATAGCGATGAATCCCCAGGCCTCCAGGGCTCCCTTGGAGAGAACTTCAGGCACCCAGAACCAGCTGCTCACTCAAGCTAGCAGCAAGAGAAGAAGGTCTGTGTGCATCTCTTTGGCCATTTCTTCTCGGGAAGAAACTGTCTTAGGATGCTTTATAAGATCCCGTCTTATAAAGACAATGTCTTCTAAATGGTTTTTTGCTCTTGTATATTAAAATCCATGTTTCTCCAATGATTTTTTTTTCTTTAATTTACTACTACTACTATCCCTTGCACATGCTAGGCAAGTGCTCTACCACTGAGCTACTCTCCTTATCTCTCCAATGATAATTTTAAATCATAGCAATTCAGGTAGAAATTAGCATGAAAACCGGTGACATGACATGTCTAAATGGGAGATAATGTCGTATAATTTTGAAGTGAGGTGGTGGGAGGATAGAAAAGGGAGGCAAGATGACGGGAAATGGCTCTGGAGAAAGGAAGCTGAGGTTTAATTGGATAAAATATAAAAACCACAATAAGATAGTACTATGAATTCATTAGGATGACTATTGGGGAGAAAATACGCTAATAATAAGTGTTGGCAAGGATGCGGAGAAACTGGAACTCTTGCTGGTAGGAATGTCAATAGTGAACTCTATAGGACACTATGGCCGTTCCTCAGATAATTAAAAATGGAATTACCATGTGACCAGCAATTCTACTTCTGGGTATATACCCAAAAGAATTAAAGGCAGGGACCTTGACAGATACTGTATGCCCATGTTTGTAGCTGCAATGCTCACCAGAGACAAAAGGTGGTCTGCTCACTGATGAATGGATACACCAAATGTGCTATAAGCATTCAATGGACTATTAACCATGGAAAGAAAGGAAATTCTGATGCCTGCCACAACATGGAGACACCTTTAGGACATTATGATAAATAAAATAAGCCAGCCACAAAATGACAGATGCCATACAATTCCACTTAAATGAGGTTCCTAGAGTAGTCAAATTCATATAAACAAGAAGTGAAGTGGTGGCTACCTGGGCTAGAAAGAGGGGAAAATATTACTTTGGCAAAATGAAAAGAGTTTTTGAGACAGGTGGTTGCACAAAAATGTAAATCTACTTAACACCACCCAACTGTGCACTTAAAAATGGTTAACCCCAAGCCAGGCATTATGGCACATGCTTATAATCCCAGCGGCTCAGGAGGCTACGGCAAGAGGATCGTGAATTCAAGAATGGCCTTTTTAAAAAGGCTATGGATATAGCTCAGGGGTAGTATTTCTGGCTTCTATCCCCAGTGCCAAGAAAGAGATGGGAGGGATTTTAAATCTTTAAAAGTTTACCACAGGGGCTGGGGTCGTGGCTCAGCGGTAGAGCGCTTGCCTAGCATGTGTGAGGACTGGGTTCGATCCCCAGCATCACATAAAAATAAATAAAGTCTATTGACAACGAAAAAAAAATTTTTTTAATTTACCACAATAAAAATTAAAAATAAATTAAAATTCTAAAAATATGTGGCAAAATTTATGGCTATAACATTTGCTTATAAACTTGGGGTTTG